AGCACACACTCACACATATGTGTGTGTTTATAAACATATATATGTAGGCATTCATGAATTTATACAAATGTTTATGCATGTACATAATTACATGCATGTTCATATATTCTAAAACCCATACGTTTATGAATAAATATATATTTTTCCCAGCCAATTCTGCAAATGTCATGAACTTTATAAACGAAATGAATGCCCTAACATCAGGAAATCCAGTAGCCATGCCTTTGAGAACGACGAATGCCTCAATAAATCATGAATATAGTTGTCAATACCCCCCCCCCCCAAAAAAAAAAAAAAAAATCGCGACTTCCAAATGCTGCGCCCATCCTGAGGAACGACCGCGTGATCAAGGACGACGGAAGAGACAACTGTCATCGACGGAGACACTCCCGTGCACGTGGAGTTCGTGGCTGACGAGAACGGCTTCCAGCCCCAGTCCGACCTCCTGCCCGTGGCTCCCGAGTTCCCCCACCCGATCCCCGACTTCGTCCTCGAGCAGATCGCCTTCGCCGCTGAGGAGGACTCAGGCCCAAGGAACCCCCACAGATATAGCCACCCTTAGTCATACCATGTATCACTCATTTTCCCCTTTTTCTTGTTGTCCTTTGCAATAAGTCTTTGGCACCAAAAATGAGCAAGTTAAACACTAGCTGTTTTCAAATCGTGTACGTTGGGCGAATTCTGCAAAAAACGTGTGCGTGTGCGTTGTTAACATGAACTTTATAAACGCTGGAAGAGGAACTTCAAATCTATGAATGAGAAGTGACCCATGTTACAGATACAAACACATGTATGTATATATCAATGTGTATATATGCTTATGTACTTATAGACAGATAGAAAGCCCTTCCCTATAAGAATGCTGTCCGACTTTTGCCATCTGACGCCTGATTCCACGTGACATCAACGATATCATCACCCTAATGTCGGAGATGCAGAGACACAACTAATCACTTGTAAATAATAACTCTGTATATAGTAATCACCCATTCCATTTTATATATTCTATCATACATGCATCTAGATACTACATATAATACCAAATATATGCTGACGTTAATGGTAGTTCAGTAAGCCAAGCCATTTCATAGAGTGGACAGGGAGAAGCCTTCATAATCAATGACTTTCTAGATCACTGGAAATATTATGCATTCGTAGTACTGAAACCATGAGGAAATTACGAAGGACTGTTAATTATCATCACTAATGATATCGATTACTGATTTTACAATTAATGATTCACTAACATACCAGCTTTAATATAACAGGTAATGAAAATAGGGGAAACAAACTTTTCAGATGTAAGACAAAATGAAAGATTGTGCATTGAAGTAATTGGTTAATATTCGTGATTTTGAATGAATGGATAAATAAATAAAGAGAAAAAATAATACATACATGCACATGCATATGTATGTATACATATATATTCTACAAGTATATATATATATATGTGTGTGTGTGTGTGTGTGTGTGTGTGTGTGTGTGTGTGTGTGTGTGTGTGTGTGTGTGTGTGTGTGTGTGTGTGTGTGTGTGTGTAATATAAGGACAAAGAAATACTCATATGCATAAACCCGTGACACTTTTTTTTTTTTTTTTTTTTTTGAATACCATAAGTGAATGTTCTGTACGGTGTTCATTGTGACATGGAGATATGAGGTATGGATGAGAAGTAATATCTTCACAGCGCAAGGGATGTATTTGGTGCGTTTCGACTATATCACCATCAAAATTCCATAAATATGTATCAGTGATGGAGATATGAATAAGGATAGAAGTAAAGCGCCAGATACATTTCTTACAGTGTGATACTCATTTTCATTCATACCTTTTTCTGAGTATTTTACGTTTCTTATACTGTCTTTTGACATATTCTTCAAATTAGACTGCTATTGGAAAGTACCAGTGCGAACAAGGGAAAATGAGTTGATAGCACCCACTTCCTTATCTAGGTCTGGAGGAGGAAATAAACCTGTACGTGTAGCTGTATCTTTTATTTCATTGGATAATCATAAATAGGAAGAGCATGCAAATCTTCAACAACAGAACATCATTGTACTATCTACACAACATTACACATTCTGACTAAGGGGCGCCGTATCTGTCGGAGGGTTCCTTGGGCCTGCGGGCGTCCTCCTCGGCGGCGAAGGCGATCTGCTCGAGGACGAAGTCGGGGATCGGGTGGGGGAACTCGGGAGCCACGGGCAGATGGGCGCCCTGGGGCTGGAAGCCGTTCTCGTCAGCTACGAACTCCACGTGAACGGGAGTACCGTCAGGAGCGGTGTAGCTGGATGGTAGAAATTGAATGAAAGTTAGCATTATGGTTAGGTTACGAATTATATTCAGTGTTACCTTCCCGAAACGCTTGAATGAATACTCTATATATTCATATTTATTTATCGAGACTCACGAGTAAGAACCGGCGCTGTTGATGCCTCCATCGGCGCTGGGAGCTCCAGACTCTGACACCACGATGCCGTCTCCTGTCTCCACGTCGAAG